ATCTGCAGCTAGATTTCTCCCTATTCTTTCCTGAGTGGCACAGAATTACATCACACCCTGCCCATTGTGAGCTGATAACTCCATGTTACACACAAAGCCTCCCTGAATAATTATACTGTTTTTGAGCAGTCGTGTTCTTCTGCCAAGGAGCTGTACACAACAGAAAACAAACTGTTCTGATTGGCCACGTCAAGCCAGGGCCTGATGCATCCACTGCTTAGTTTCATTACAAAAGGACACGGTGGGTGCACCTGTTGCCCCAGGTCTGAGTAAAGACACACACTCTTTCTAAGCTGTAAAATGTTAATAAAAGTGTCAGGAGTATGTTAACATCATTGATGAAATGTGAATTCATTGAAAAATATTATTAATTAGGCTGATATTTTATAATTTGCATGGACTATGATTTATGTTATCTTTTAGAAAATATAATCATTCAAACACATTTTTTTTTAATTTGTAGTAGAGAAGCTTAGTTGACCTTTCTACAGATCTTGACAATTAGTGGTGAAATGAGAGATGCCCTATGAGAAGAACACAGGGTGTGCTTTTCTGCCTTTATAAGATAAACAGAAATCCAATACCAGGCAGAACGTGGTGAAGGCAATTAACCTGCAGAGGGGACAGGCCACCCTCTCCCCAGCACGGGCTGCAATCTCTGTAGCAAGTGCTGATTCGATTTGCCATGGAGCCTTTCATTTTCACCAGTGAAAGAGCCAAAGTTATTTTCCCTGGATAAATTTCATAGTTCTCCAGAATAACTGGAGAAATATAACTTCAATAAAAGTTTAAAAATCGGGTTGAGCAAGATGACTAGAAAATGTCCCTCTGGTTATGGTAGCACAAGAGATCAGAGACCTAATGATCTCAGGACAAACTCCTGGATGAGGGAATATTTATCTGTAAAGAGAGAAAAAATTGGAAACTTCTTCTTGAAAAGGTGCTGGGCAGGCCTGTGGGACTTACTGAGACCCCTAGGAACATTGTGCCAGGAAGGCGAATGAGGCTGTGAAAGACAGGAGTCACCACAGAGCAGCCTGCAGCTGCCAGGCGGTCGCCTGCGAACGGTGGAGGGTGGTCCACGCATGCCCAGGGCTGGGTCCCAGGGTTCTGGTCTCTCCCTTGGCTCCGGCACTCTGCAGAGCCAACCTCACCTGGTGTTGAGCGGCCCTCCTGGAGGGTTGACTAAGTCAGCTCCAGGCCCTCTCTGCTGGAAGTCCCACGGGTCAGGGCCCCAGGCACACCTGCAGTAGACAGGGAAGGACATCCCTGGGGGAGTCGAACCCCAGAGCTTGACTTGGCAGGAGCGGAGTTGGTTTTCTCTGCATTTGGACAAGGTGGAATTGTTTTATAAAGCGAGCATGCATTCAAGTGGTTTTAAAAATGCATTCAATGAATCCAGACCTTAAAATTCAAAATTATAGTAGATTTAAATTAATGTATTCCCACTCAATACTACTGTGAATAGTTTAAAATAAGATTCTGCACGTTAGTGATTCATATTTCAGGAGAAGCTGTGGAGCAGTGGAGTGGATGGGATAGTACATCGAGGGAGCTGTGGACTTCCGGGAGCCTGGAGTCCTTAAGGTTTCTCGGTGTGACTTTTTCTTTACCAATTGTACCTGGAAGGTCACTAGTGATGGCACTTCTCCAGGTGTTTGGTGTCAAGGACTGAAGAGACTCTGTCTTGGCAGTGGAGGCTTCTACCTGGGGAGCCTGCTGAAGATGCTGGGGGAAGGCAAGTTCCTCCCCTGCGTGTCCTAACCTTGGTGTCTTAGTGAACTGTGGCTAGTATTGGCCCAGAGTATTGATCTTCCCATCTCCTGTTTTTTGTTTTTCAAATGCCCATTGGAAAATAATTGCTGCAGGCACCTGCCCCAGAAGCAGCTCATGTGACTCAGAGCCAGAGGATTCTTTTTTTCCCCAGTTAACAAGAGGACACTTACCTCTGTCCTTTCTGAGCCTAGTAATTGACTCATGTCCTAGCAAGTCTAGATAGTATGTCACGCAAACAGCATGAAATGAATTCGTCATCATTAATTTCAGGATCTTAAGACTATTTTTTTCTCATTCCCCCTCCCACCCTGTCTCTCTCTCTCCTTCCCTCCCTCCCTCCCTCCCTCCTTGTCTCTCTCTCTCCCCCTCTCTTCCTATCTCTCCCCCTCCCTCCCTCCCTCCCTCCCTATCCTCAGC